TGAATGTAAAATAGTTTAGTTGCTGTGGAAAATTTGTCTGGTGATTCCGTAGGAAGTTAAACATAAAATTACCATGTGAACCAGAAATTTCACTCCTAGGTTTATGCATCCCAAAGAATTGAAAAGTTACTCAAACATCCATCTGTGGAGGCTCATAGCAGCACTAATCACAAAGTCTAAAGGCCAAAACAATGCAAATGTCCATCAGTAGATGAACAGATAAACAAATTATGGGGTGTGTATGTGTGTGTGTATACAAGTGTGTAAACACTTGTACATACAATGACTACTATTCAGCCATAAAAAGGAATGAAGTACTCACATATACCACAGTGTGGATGACTCTCAAAAATATTATGTTAAGTGAAAAAAAAAAAACAGACACAAAAGATCACATATTGCATTATTATATTTACACGAAATATCCAGAAAGGTAAATCCATAGAGAGAGAATGCAGATTGGAGTTTGTCAGGGACTGGGAGAAGGAGGGAATGGGGAATGATTGCTTAATGAGTACAGAGTTTCCTTTTGGGGTGATAAAAACATTTTGAAACTAGGTAGAGGTGGTGGTTGCACAACATTGTGAATGTACTGAATGCTACTGAATTGTTCATTTTAAAATGGTTAATTTTGGCTGGGCATGGTGGTTCATGTCTAATCCCAGCACTTAGGGAGGCCGAAGCTGGAGGATTGCTTGAACCTAGGAGTTCGAGACCAGCCTGAGCAATGTAGCAAAAACTTGTCTCTACAAAAAAGTCAGAAAAATCAACCAGGCCTGTGGTGACACATGCTTGTAGTTCCGGCTACCTGGGAGGCTGAGATGGAAGGATTGCCTGAGCCTAGGAGGTAGAGGCTGAGGTGAGCCATTATTGTTGTGATCATGTCATTGCACTCCAGCCTGGGTAACAGAGTGAGACCTCGACTCAAAATAAAAGATCTTATATTATGTGAATTTCATCTCAACTGAGAAACTACAATGAGATACTTCATACCTACTAGAATGGGTATTAAAAAATGTGAATAATAACAAGTGCTGGTGAAAGGCAGGGCACAGTGACTGACACCTATAAACCCAGCACTTTGAGAGGCAAAGGCAGGAAGACCGCTTGAGCCCAAGTGTTCAAGATCACCCTGGCCAACACAGTAGACCTCATCTCTACAAAAAAAAATTATCTGGGTGTGGTGGCGTGCACCTGTAGTCCCAGCTAATCAGGCTGAGGCAGAAGGATTGCCTGAGCCCAGGAGGTTGAGGCTATCTATGGTGAGCTATGATCGTGCCACTGTACTCCAGCCTGGGTGTCAGAATGAGACTCTGACTAGAAAAGAAATAAATAATTAGTATTCTAATGTTCTTAGTATCATTAATAGACAAATTTTTAAAAGCTCTGAAAAGCCAGCAATTGAAAAATAAAAAAGATACTAGAGTAATCAGACATCCACTTGAAAATCAAATGAACCTTGAACCATACCTTGCATGATACATAAAAATTAACTTGAAATAGAACACAGACCTAATATAAAACCTAAAACTTCTAAAGGACAGCAAAGGAGAAACTCTTGGTGATCTTAGGTTAGGCAAAAATTTCTTAGATATGATAAAAAAAAAGTATGACATATAATTAAAAAAATTGATCATCAGACTTCATTAAAATGTAAAACTTCTCTTCAAAAGAAAATGAAAAGACAAACATAAAATGAAAGAAGATTTTTAAAAAAGATATATCTGACAAAAGATTTCTAGATATACAAATAGTAAGAATATTTTACTTAAGAATATGAAAATGTTTTAAAATCTCAAAAAACTCAATAAGAAGACAAACAACTGAATTCAAAATGGTTAAACATTTTGAACAGACACTTCCATTTTAATGGCAAATAAGCATATGAAAAGATACTCAATATTATCAATCACTGGAGAAATGCAACTTACAACCACAGTGATATGCCATGCCACTGCACACCAACTGGAAGGGCTAAAACGAAAGAACTGACAACCAATGCTGATGAGAATATAGAGAAACTGGAACACATACATTCTTGGTAGGAATGCAAAACTGTACCGACCCTTTAGAGCACAGTTGAGCAATTTGTTATCATGTTAAACATATATTTATCATAGGATCCAGAATTCCAACTCTTGATATTTGCCCAAGAGAAATAAAAATATATATACATATATGAATATTCATAGAGGCTTTGTTCATCATTGCCCAAATCTGGAAACAACCCAAATATCCTCCAGCTGGTGAATAGATAAAGAAACAGGTATATTTATACAATAGAGTACAGATTACTGATTCACATGGAAGTATGGATGGATCTTATATGCCTTATACTTAAAGGGAAGAAGTTAGACTTGAAGTGCTACATACTATATGATTCCATTTAAATGACATTCTGGGCCTGAACCCGCAGGTTCGAGACCCACCTGGGCACGTGAGACCTCATCTCTACAATAAATCAAAAAATTAGCCGGGCGTGGTAGCGCGCACCTGTAGTTCCAGCTACTGGAAGGCTGAAGTGGAAGGATCGCCGGAGCCCAGCAGGTCGAGGCTGCGGTAGCCGGGAGCGGCCACTGCACTCCTGTCTGGGCGACTGAGTGAGACTCCAACTCAAAATAAATAAATAAATAAATAAATGACATTCTGGAAAAGTTATAACCACAGGGTCAGAAAACCAGATCATGGTTTCTGGGTGATGGGGTAGAAGAAAGGGTTGATTACAAGGGGCACAAAGGAAATTTCTAGGGTGACAGAAATGCTCTATACTTTGGTTGTGGTGGTAGTTGTGGATTATGTTTGTCAAAATTCATTGAAGTGTATACTAAAAAGGGTAAATTTCACTGTATGTAAATAATAATAAATCTGACATTAAAAAAATCTTTACAATAATACATATTAAAAAGTCAATTTAAGATGGGCACAGTGGCCTGAAATCCCAGCACTTTGGGAGGTGGAGATGAGAGAAATTGCCTGAGCCCAGGTGTTTGAGACCAGTCTAGGCAATTTGTCTAGACCTTGTCTCTACAATAAATAAAAAAATTAGCCATGCATGGTGGTGCACGCCTGTGGTTCCCACTAATTGGAAGGTTAAGGCAGAAGGATCATCTGAGCCCAGCAAGTCAAGGTTGTAGTGGGCATGAACATGCCACTGCACTCCAGCAAATGTGTGACAGAGGGATTCCAACTCAAAAAAGAAAAAAAAAAGTCAATTTAGATCACACAATGGGACTCTCTTTAAGCATCATAACTTGACTTAATAGAACATCTCCAATGAGCAAGTATCTTTCAGTTCAATGAACTTATACTTAGCCTACACAGAGACAAATGAAATCAGAGAAAACAATAATGCTATGTTTTTATCCTAAATAGTCACAGCAATTACCTTAGCCATGTAACAGTCACTAACATTTTAAAGCAAAAATCATTAATAAACTTAACGGTAACCATCAATTTTCCCAATTTTAAAAAGTATATTGAGGCCAAATTGAAGTAAGTAAAGTCCTTGCCATAGGAAATCAGCATCATTCAAGGATTTCTAGGGTGAATTACTTTCAATTCATATCACTAGATACAAATGACTAAACTAGAGGGGTCCTGCAAGCATGGTGGGAACTGCATTTGAGCTCATGCTCAAAATCTAGCTTTTCTTGCTCAATTCTCAAATTACAAGCTCGTTTGTATATATGGTAACACAAGCTCTATTTGGGCAAATCAGAAGCAATGAAACAGTTGGGGCTTGATGGCTCTCTCCAATACCTGTTCCTGGGTATCATATTAAGCTGCTAGTCCTTGATGCTCCAGACAGATTCTCTAGATGCCAGTGACATGATCTATAACTCTCTTCACATTTCAAAACACAAACAGCAATGTTTTATTTTTTATTTTTATTTATTTATTTTTGAGTCAGGGTCTCACTCTGTTGCCTAGGTTGGAGTGCAGTGGCTACCACAGTTGAGCTACCACAGTCTCAACCTACTGGGCTCAGGCAATCCTTCACCTCTCCCTCTTGGATAGCTGGGACTACAGGCATGAGCCACCATGCCTGGCTAATTTATTTTATTTTTTGTAGAGATAAGGTCCCACTATGTTGCCCAGACTGGTCTTGAACTCCTGGGCTCAAGCATTCCTCCCACGTTGGCCTCCCAATATCCCGGGATTATAGGCGTGAGGCACTGTGCCCAGCCAGCAATGTTTTAAAGATTGGTTTTTTGTTTTATTTAATATTATTTATTTATTTATTTATTGAGTCGGAGTCTCACTCTGTTGTCCAGGCTGGACTGCAGTGGCGTGCTCACAGACACCACAGCCTCAACCTGCTGGGCTCAAGCAATCCTTCAGCCTCAACCTTCCAAGTTGCTAGGACTACAGTTGTGCACCACCACGCCTGGCTAATTTTTTTTTTTCTTTTAATTTATTGTAGAGACGAGGTCTCACCAAGTTGTACAGACTGGTCTTACACCCCTGAACTCAGGCAATCCTCTTGCATCAGCCTCCCCAGATGCTGGGATTATAGGCATGAGCCACCACACCCGGCCTGTTTTATTTTAATAAGGATTTGATTTGTTTTCTGGACTTTCTACTTTCTAGAGCCCAGAAAAGAATCCTTGGAAGATGAACTGGCAAGTGCAGACAGGTACTCAGGCAGCCCAAGCACACATTTTATTTAAAAACCACATAGTCAGCAGTCAACCCTACGCTTCTCACAGGCCACTGGCATACTCTCAGACGTCTTGGTTAAAAGGTTCGGTCAACAATAGGGCCAGAGGCAGTGATGACACACTGGCAAACCCTGAACACTCAACAAGCACACATTCCCCAGAAGCAGCTCCAGAAGCAGGGGCGGGTACTCTGGATGGCAACCAGCCTCACAGCTCCCTGATTCCCACATCTTGGTATTCATCAAAAGTACCCACCTCCTTGTTAAGATGAGCTGCACAGCAGGCAGCAGTGCAGAAGGAAGTGAAACAGAGTGAAATACCAACAAATATGTGCAATACCTTGTTTTTAGCTAATTCTTTTTCCAAGTTGCATTTTTCTTGTGCTATTTCTTTTTCTGTTGTATTAACCTGTTGGGGGACAGGGGTAGGAAAAAATGGGTCAGTTTTCCAGCAGCTGATAGAAAACATCCTGCACCAGTGAATACCTACATGGCAGAGATAGCACATCCTCCCCGAAAAGGGGCCCACCAAGGAGTTTCTGAGCAGAGCAGACAGACAGCCCTGCAATCAGAAAGACATATCTGCATGTCAGACTCTGCTGGCTCCTTCCTCAGCGGGAGCCAGGGCTGTTCCACTCCTTCAGGTAAATCAGTTTTTCAGATCTGATCCCTGAAGTAACTCAAGGCTGTGTGAGTTCTCAGCCAGCATTCGTGGGTGCTGTGTGTGACTGAGAAGCATAAGTTAGCCACCAAACATGTCTCCCATGGGCAACTCAGACAAACTGTACCTAGGATTTCTTACAATGCCCCACACCACAAGCAGAAAGCAGTGACACCGGCGTCCACCCACCTCTCTCTGTACTAGTTCTTTCTCCTGCAGGAGTGCCATCTTCTCCTGCACGGATGCTTCCAGCTCACCCCGCAGCCTTGCCACTGTTGACTCCAGCAGCTCTTTCTGTGCAGCTGTCTTCCACTCAGCATCCTGGGCCTTCTGGATACACTGGTTGTGCTCAAGGATTAAATGATCACTGCAGGAGAGAACATGGAGGGTGAAAGCTAAGTGGAAGTTTCACTTCAACAGAAAGGGCCAGGGAATGTTCTTCCAGAACATTTTGCCTGAAAGCTATGACCAAAATGTTTTGACAAAATGAGTTTCTGGAAAATAGAGTTTTTATTTTCTCTTTGTGGCTGACCCAACAAATGCAGAACCCAATGTCTTCATTAGAGATAAACACAAATGCAAGAACAAAGAAGCCCTAAAGGTTGCCCACATTGTACTTACAGGTGTGCTTGGAGCTGGGCTTTCTCATTCTGAACCGTCTGCAGTTCACTGGTGATGCTGGCATGGGCTGCATCCAGCAGTAAGTTCTGTTCTTGGAAAGTCTGTGTCATCATCTTCTGCTCTGCCTGAGTGCCAGGAGCAATATTAAAGGCTGAGATGCCAGAAAGGCATTTGATAGTGTCATTCAGAGTTACTGGTCAAAGATGCTGAACTAACTTACAAAAAGCAGGTTTATTTACATAAATAAAACCTCTTTTAAAAATAACTTATTTTTCAGCCTAGGCAACACAGCAAGACCTTGTCTCTACAAAAAATAAAAAAATTAGCCAGGCATGGAGGCACACACCTGTAATCCTAGCTACTCGGGAGGTTGAAGCAGGAGGATTACCTGAGCCCAGGATGTCATGATCATGAGCGGTGAGCCATGATCATGCCACTGCACTCTGGTCTGGGCAACATAGTGAGATCTTGACTCAAAACAACAATAAAGAAGAATTTATTTCAATGACCAGTCTTCTCTTTGTGCCACCCTGAGTTGGCTACAATTCTATCACTTTATAGTTCTACTAGCCAATAGTCAAGATACACTGTTTACCAAGCCTGCTGAAAAACTCTTACTACCAATATATTTTAAAGATGGAAAATTATATTAAAGTATTTTTGGTATTTTTAAAAATTTTAATATACTTTATTTTTTTAAGCAACACAATATAAATGTATATAAAGTGAGAAGATCCCTTCATCTCTTTCTACACCCCTTCTAAATAATCCCACCCCCTAGGCATAATCATGTTTAAGAGTTTGGTGTGAATTCTTTTGAAAATATCTTTTTTTTTTTTTTTTTTT